CACTCAAAAAGACAATAGGGATGATGCTGTCCTCTAGTGGCAGATAAATAAAACAGAACTTTTCATATCCTGTAAGATACTTTCTCAGCAAAAATAACAAGCCCTGCACAACCCAACTAAGAGTTTTAATCATTTCTCTGACATTTTAGATTGAAACTTCATTACCACAAAACATAAAGAGTAGATTTCATTATTCCTTTTGTTTGTAAGAGAACAGGTCTGGACAGCGTTATCTTTGGGGGAGTCATGAATCCATTTTTAATGTAGAAAGATACAAGTGTTGGGTTTGGGGCTTTGATAGTGGTGATTTTTCTACGTTTTGTGGATGAAAATTAAAAAGTTATGATGTGAATTATGTTTTTGATAAATAACCTTGATAGTCACTGAAATATCCATTTCTACACTAGTAGGCAAATAGGTTAAAATCCACCATGACCTAAGTAAATCCCTAATTTTAAATATTGGCAGATGGGAGTGGGGTGGGGAGAGCAGCTTGCCTGCCTCTGCTCCGTGCCCCTGCACTCTTGAGTAAAGTTTGCCAGTCAGCATGCCCCACCTACTCACAGAGAGCACAGTGGCTCTGCCAGCCATGCAAGAGGTTGGATGTGGAAACAAGCCTCATAAATACAGAATAAGCCCACACAAGCCACCTAATAAACAAAATTCTTTTGTAATTATAATCAGATGCCAAATATGATCAGCACAAAATAAATGGGTGCAAAGTAAAATGGAAAGCCTCAGATGAAAAGACATTAATTCAGGGAGTACAAGAAACTTAAAGCAAAAATTCTCCAAAAGTATCTCCAAAGAGATTTTAGAAGATACATCATCTATAAAACAACAACACACACTACAGAAAAGCATCAATCAGAGCATAGTAGTGAATTCAGAAGAATAAAAATTGTGGCCAAAAACAGAGAGTTTATTGTAGGTGAACTAAGTTACAGAATGAACAGAGATGAATATAAAGTTATTATTCTAGAATTTAACTCTGGTGAAATATTCCAGAATGTATAATGTATAGGCACAGATCAGTCCATTATAACAAAAACTGAATTAAGAGAAGTTCTTGAGGAGATTAAAGAAAACAGAGAAATCAAAGTCATTGGCAAAGATGATAAATAGATGGAAAAAGGAAAGACTGAAAGCAGGAGGGAGAGAAGTAGGGAGGGAGTCAAAAAATTATCAACCAAGAATTTTATATCTGGAAAACTTTCCTTCAAAAATGAAAAAGAAATTAAGATACTTCTAGATAAATAAAAACTGAAGTTTGTCACTAGCAATGTCTGTACCTGACACCACAAAAAGATACTAAAGGGAGTTTTTCAGGGTGAAATAAAAAGACACTTGAGAAAAACTCAAATTGATATGAAAAAATAAGGATTGGGCTGGGCATGCTGGCTCACGCTCGTAATTCTAGCACTCTGGGAGGCCAAGGCAGGTGGATTGCTTGAACTCATGAGTTTGAGACCAGCCTGAGTAAAAAGTGAACCCTGTCTCTTCCAAAAAAATAGAAAAACTGAGGTAAGAGGATCACTTGAGCTCAAGAGTTGGATGCTGCTGTGAGCTATGATGCCATGGCACTCTACCCACAGCAACAGCTTGAGACTCTGTCTCAAAAAAAAAAAAAAAAAGAGAGAGAAAGAAGGATCATCACTGAAGGGAACTAATAGGTAAATATAAAGGCAATCTAAATATATTTTTGAACTATTTTTCTCCTAACTTATTTAAAAGATGACTGTAAAAAGAAACAATAATAAATTGATGTTGTTGGGTAGATAATATATAAAGATATAATTTGTGACACTAACAGCATAAAGAAGGGGAGGGAAACTAACCTGTATAGTGAAATTTTATGTGCTATTGAAATTCAATTAGCATTAATCTAAATTAGACTTAAAAATTAAGATATTAATTGTAATTCCCAGGGAAACCACCAAGAAAATAACCAATATATATATATATATATATAAAAATATATATATATATATTAAAAGCAACAACATAGAATTAAAATAGTATACACACACAAATCTAACAAAAATCAATGCAGCAATACAAAAACGGAGAGACAAAGTAGATACAAGATCGATATATACAATATAAAACATAGTAAAACAGTAGATACAAATTCTACCTTATCACTAACTACACTAAATGTAAATGAATTAAACTCTCCAATTAAAAGGCAGAGATTAACAGGATGAATTAAATATAAAAACATGATCCATCTAAATGCTGTTTAAAAAGAAGCACTTTAGATTCAAAGACAAAAATAGTTAGAAAGTTAATGGATGGGAAAAATTGTACCATGCAAGTAGTAAACAAATCAAAAGAACTGGAGCAGCTATAGTGATATCAAACAAAATAAACCTTAAGACAAAGATTGCCATTAGAAACAATGATGGGCATTTTATAGCAATAATAAGATCAATTCATCAAAAAGATAAAATAATTGTAAATATATTTGCCCCTAAAAGCAGTGTCCTTAAATACATAAAGCAAAACTTGACACTATTGAAGGGAGAAACAGACAACTCAACAATAAATAGGTCGAGACTTCAATAACTTGCTTTCAATAATGAATAAAACACTAAAAATAATATTAGCAAGGAATCAGAAGAGTAAAACAACACTACAAAAGAAAAAAACATATAGATTTAATAGATATATTTAGAACATTCCACCCAAGAATAGTAGAATACACATTCTTCTCAAATGCACATGGAGCATCCTCTAAGATAGACCAAAAGGTTAGGTTATCAAACAAGTATCGATAAATTTGGAATGATTGAAATTATAGAAAGTATTTTTCTGATTCCTAGTAGAATGAAACTAGAAATCAGTAAAAGAAGAAAGTTTGGAAAATTCATAAATATGTGGAAATTAAACAATACTCCTAAATAAGCAATGCATCAAAGAAGAAATCACAAGAGAAATCAGAAAATACTTTGAGATGAATTAAAACAAAAATACAATATACTAAAACTTAATAGATGCAAGGAAAGTAATTCACAGGGGAAAATTCAGAACTATAAATACCTACCTAAAAAAAAAACAAGCTCTCAAATCAATAACCTGGCTAACACAGTGGCTCACACCTATAATCCTAGCACTCTGGGAGGCCAAAGTGGGAGAATCCCTTGACCTCAGGAGTTTGAGAACAGCTTGAGCAAGAACAATACCCCATCTCTACTAAAAATAGAAAAAAAATAGCCAGGCATTGTGGCTTGCATCTGTAGTCCCAGCTACACAGGAGTCTGAGATGGGAGGATTGCCTGAACTCGGAAGTTTGGGGTTTATGGTAGCTGGGTTGATACCATAGCACTCTAGCCTGGGCAACAGAGCAAGATTCTGTCTTAAAAAAATAAAATTAATAACCTAATTTTACACCTTAAGAAACTAGAAAAAAAAGAGGAAAATTCAACATAAATAAAGACATGGAAAGAAATAATAAATATTATAGCGTAAATAAATAAAACAGAGAAAATTCAGTAAAACAAAAGTTGGTTCAAAAGTTGGTTCTTTCATAACATTGACCAAATTGACAAACTTTTAGCTACCCTCAATCAAAATAAAAAGAGAAAAGACTCAAATTTACTAAAATTGGGAATGAAAGATGGGACATTACTATCTATCTTAGAGAACTTAAAAGGATTATAAAGGAGTAATAAAAACAATCATATGGCAACGAATATGATTACCTAGGTGAAAAAGACAAATTATAGACATATCCTACAAAAATGACTCAAGAAGAAACAGAAAATCTGAATAGGTCTATAACAAGGAAAGAGATTAAGTTACTAATCAAAAGAAAAGTATTAGACCAAAAGACTTTCTCTTGTATTCTAACAAATGTTTAGAGAAGAATTAATACCAAATATTCACAAACTCTCCAAAAATAAAAAAAGAAGAAGCACTTCTCAATTCATTAAGAATTATCCTGACAAAAAACCAAAGACATCTCAAGAAAGAAAAACTACCACAAAATTAAGAATATCTGCGCTTCAAAGGTCACCATAAAGGAAGTTAAAAAGAAGATCAACAAAATGAGAGAATGTATTTGCAATTATCTGATTGTGGTCTAGCATCCAGAGTATCTAAAGAACTCTTACAACTCAACAGTAAAAAGATATATCACATAATTAAAACATGGGCCAAAAATTTGAATAAACATTTCTCTAAAGAAGATTCTCAAATGGACAATAAGCACATAAAAAATGTTCATCATTGGTCATTAGGTAAACACAAACCAGAAACATAAGAAGATAGCACTACATACCCATTATGATGGGATATCTACTATAAAAACAAAAATATCTTCCTACCTTAAAAAAAAACATTGTTTGTAGAAAGTATTAGTAAAGTTGTGTAGAAATAGGTACTTGCATTTACTCAGTGCAAGTACAAGTTGATACAATCTTTTTGAAGAACAATTTGGCAGTTATCTTTCAAAGCATGCATATTTAAATGCAGGAATTCCACTTCTAAGTATCTATCCTAGGAAAAAACATGCACATGCACACAAAGTACAACACAGAAGGATGCTCATTGCAGCCACGCTTATTATAGCAAGATGCTGGAATGCATCCAAACGTCCATCTGCAGGCAGATGGTTAGATAAATCAGTCTACAGTCGTTCCAGTGCATAGCCCCATGCTCCTTTTCCTGGATATCCAAAGATTAGGGTAATTTCAGGGAAGAAATTAATTTTCAAAACAATACTCACAGTATGATCCCACTGATAGAAAACAAAATGAAATGAAACTACCTTCTATACACCAAAAGTGTCAACTCCAGCTATCTGCCAAAGTCCAGGTTAGAAAGGCGTGAAATTTTATTTTAGAATTTATATATCACTTTATTGTTTGGGTTTTCACAAGAATAAATATAAGATTTATATAAAATGTTAAAGAAGCATACCTGTTGTTATGCAATACATTAAAATCTAATTTAAATCTCAATCTTAATTCATAATAAAATGGAAGGGGAAATCTTACCTTCCAGATTTTCTATTTTTTCAATGTTGTTTAAAGCTAAATTCAAGTATTCAAGTTTCTTCAGTCTACTGACATTTTCTGAAATACACATATAGTAATTAATGAAGTTTCAAGATAAAAGACATTTTTACATAATCTATTGTGAAAATAATAAAAGAGAATCTAAGAGTTATTATTTTGGATACAAAAACCATTGTGCTTTTTCAAATCTACACCTGTATATATCAGACAGTGTAGTTATCTATCATGTCCCTGCCCAGTCCCAATACCAGATGGTTAGGTTTAGCCAAGCTGAGCCAATGCATGGCAACGCAATCTTTTTTGCTAGTGACAGCTCAGGAATCTAGGCTTAAGCCAACCAGCTCATGGCAGTCTCCCGGCAACCATGTGGTACAGGAGAGGGCCAAGTACTGCCAGTCAGATGAAAGCAAAAGACCTCCTTTCCATGCTTGGGGAGGGGATTTCTTATCTCTTTTTCTTGCTGGATGTTAATAAGGAAGAAAGTACTAATCCTACTGATACTCACATTCAATCATGAGGGGAACAGCTGAAGGATGAAGCTCACACTGTACCAAGTAGACAAGAGATTAGGAATCAACTGATCCTGGAGTCTGTCCCACCTCTGCACTTAGACTTGGGTAAGAAAATAGATTTCCTTACTGTTCTGCTACATTGAGTTTTTTTTTTTTTAATTTCAAGCCAAAATCAATCTGACACGGGATTATTTTTTGCTAAACAAAAAAATGTTTAAAAAAAAAAAACTGGGTGGCACCTGTGGCTAAAAGGAGTAGGGCACCGGCCCCATTTGCTGGAGGTGGCAGGTTCAAACCCAGCTCCAGTCAAAAACTGCAAAAAACCCCCAAAACTGAAAGCCCATACAGGCAAAACAAGCATAAACAAATCATAGAAACTCTGTAGAATAAGGCCTTTAACAAACAGACAATAATGCCCTAGCTAAACTAAGTGCTTATTATAATATGTATGATGCAATGTTTTAAGTATTTTGCTTATATTGTCTAATTTAATAGCCCTAAAAGGTTAAAAAGTATTATTTCCTTTTTACAAATGACAGTATCAAAAAAGTACAGAGGATTAATCCCCTTGTCCATAGTTAAGTGGTAGAGCCAGGAAATTCGACTCCAGAGCCTGGCACTAATTCATGATACCACACCTTAAGAGAACAGTCCTCTCTAAGATGACAAGAGTGCAAAAACTCTGCTAAGAAATGTGCATTTGGGAAAGCCGCACTTCACTGATGCTCCTCTGCCCATCTCTCAGGGGTAATATGAAAATCAAAACATGAGGCTATGTAATCATCACCCTAAATAGTTCATCTAAAATCAATAAAACATCATATATTTGTTTCCATAGACCTGAGAAAAAATTCTAGGTCTAATTTTCATTTTTTTCTTTCTTTCTTTTTCTTTTTTTAGAGATAGAGTTTCACTTTTGTTGCCCTCCGTAGAGTGCTGTGATGTCACAGCTCACAGCAACCTCCAGCTCTTGGGCTTAGGTGATTCTCTTGCCTCAGCCTCCCAAGTAGCTGGGACTACAGGTGCTCGCTCGACACAACACCCGGCTATTTTTTTTTGTTGGTTTGGCCGGGCCGGGTTTGAACCTGCCACCCTCGGTATATGGGGCCAGCACCCTACTCACTGAGCCACAGGCACCACCCAGTTTACTCATTTTCCAAAATGAAATTTTTTTAAAAAAAATTACTAAAGTTTCAAGCAGAAACTAAATTATGCCAAGTAATACTACTGTTTACAAAAGGTTCTCTAGCAACAGCTGAGCATTCAATAGTCAACAGATTTGGAGGTTTCTGTGCGCCAAGAATTATGATAGACAGTGTCTAGTCTGCATCCTGCACAAAAATAAAGTTATCATTGTTAAAACTGTCAGCCCACAGCAAAATAGCTGCTCAACATAAATTCCTCTTTTCTATCTTTGTTATATGTATAGCCCTCTAAATGGTAAAAAAAAGTTATCTACTAGGGAAAAAAGGTAAGGTTTGTTCAGGGAGGGGTTCCAAAATTAACTCTTCGAGAACAATAGGCCTCACTTGATTGGACAGAGCCTCTGGGGCAGAAGAGAGGAGGAGGTCTGAGAGCTCTAGGCCAGACCATTCTGGAAGCAATTCTCACCAACTGCCACAAGAGACCCACAAACTTGAAGTGAACCCAAGACCCTTCTCAGTTTCAAGAAGCTCTGTGGCCTCAGCTTCCTTCAGGCATGAGGCCCAATGGGAAGCCATTGAAATGTCTATTACTGGAGCCCACCCGCTCCAGGTTCTGACTCAGTGGATCTGAGAATCTGTGCTTTGACCGGACCCCAGATGGTGCTCAGCTCATGCAGGAGCCACGATGAGCAGGGCCTGCCTCCACAGCCTAGCTGTACCTCCCAGGGAGGAAAGGAGCTTTAGGAAAGACAACTGTCTCACAAACTTCCACCTTAATGCTGGAGAGCAAGTCTGGATCCTACAGAAATAGTTTTACTTGCAAAATAAGTATCTAACTGCCTATGGGTGAAATAGCACTGAAAAATCCCATTATTATGACTTAAAAGAGTGTTTAATTTAAGAATACTTTGGAAGCAAAAATTTAAGCTTTCTCACAGCCCTGAAAAAGACTGAAATACTATGCTACTAATTAGTAATTGTGATGGACCCAGCTGTGGAGATTAAAATTTCGGGAACTCTTTTAGATCTGTACAATTAGAACTGTTCTTTAATGCCCCCATGCATGAAAGCTGGTAGTTTTCTGTAATCGCCTTTTTAATTGAACAATGTGAGAGAGTTTCTAATTTCTGGTAAAGTGAAAAATGCCGAAAATAATTATCTGGAGAAATATAGAGAATTTTAGTAAATCTTCAAAAAACGATGCAAATCTAGGCTTTTTACAGTCCTAAAGCCAAATTTCAATTATTTACGAAACTAGAGGCAACCACATCACCAGGGTTTCTCAGTCTCAGCGGTACTAACACTTTGAGCTGGAGAATTCTTTCCTGTGGGAGGCCCTCCTGAGCACTGTAGGATGGTTAGTACTATCCCTGCCCGCTACAGAGAACGCCCCCAACCTCCCCGCCACACACACACGTGTCTCCAGACCTTGCCAAATGCCCGGTTGGACACTGCGGCAGATCATCATGGTAAGTTAAATCCAGGGTGGCCATAAAATTTGTGTGCAACCTAAAATAGTGTGCAGTCTAAAACTGCACGCAAACTTTAAGGCCACCCTGTCTAACCCTAAAAGCCACCCTCTGCATTCTAATAATTTCACACAGCTTGTAAGTTACAGAGTCAGGGTTCCAGGCAGGTCTGCATGACACCAGAGCCTGTGTTTGCTCTGACCACTAAGCTACACTGTTGGTTTTCTGAGTATTGGCGATACTCCTCCTGTTTCCACGTGACAGGACTTCCATCAGAGCTGTGGTCCCTAACCTTTTTGGCACCAGGGACAGGTTTCATATAAGACAATTTTTCCATAGGCAGAAAGAAGGGCAATAGGGGGACATCAGTTTCTCATGTGGAAGGCACAACCCAGACCCTCACAGGAGTGATTTATGGTAGGGTTTGCACTCCCATGAGAATCTAATGCCATCCCTGATCTGACAGGAGGTGGAGCTCAGACGGTGATGTGAACAACGGGGAGCTAATGGGGGGCGGCTACAAATCCAGAGGAAGCTTTGCTCTCTTGCCCTCCACTCACTTCCTGCTGCCCGGTACCAGCACCTATTGGCAGCCAAAGGGCGGGGGACCACAGCATTAGACTGACTCCACATGTCTCCTTTCTGTCCCTGGGTTTGTCATTCTTATGTGTGGGAGTGTTATACTGGGGGTGAGGGAAGGGTCAACTTACCTGATGGGTTAATTGGGAGAAGAAACTGAACATGCCCAGTCCCACCCTCTTGCCTGGCTTCTGGGATCTTCCATCCAATCGAGACCACATGGTTTCAATCTCCTCCTGCCATAAAGCAAGGACCCAACTGGGCAGGGAAAGGAATGTTTGTCCAGTTCTGCATGTGACTGGGTTCAGCGGTTTAATCTGGGAGCCCACTTGGCTGCAAGTCTAAGCCACATTATTCAGAGAGCTTTATCAGTTATATAATGTTGATATTTTGACCTTCATCTACCAAACTCCTATATTTACCCTCATTTTCACTCTAAACTGAATCGCCCTCAGTACCCAATAACAAGTACAATTTCTTGGACGTATATGCTCACAGTAACCACAGCAGAACCAGCCCTTGTAGTCTGTGGTAACTTGATAAGGAATTGTTCAATTCCCATACTGAACACGTGGTATAAAACCATGACAAGGACTTAGATTATATTCTCCCTTGCAAACTTTTTCAAAAAATCAGGTCAATTAATGGGTTCCCCAACTTCACCTGCTCTCCTAACTTCCTGATGGAGATATTCTTTTGGGCAATGAGTCTCACCACACATGGAAAAGTTCAGGGAAATGTTCCAGACACAATTACCAAAAGAAAGCCATGTCTGTTTTCTCATGTAATTCATTTTTGGTGTTTTGCTCCTAAAAATAACACTGCACTTTCCAAATTTCCCTTATTTAAAATGTTAAAGAAACCATGAGAACCAATACTGAAACTTACCAATTTTTCCAATAAGATTATTTTGTAGATAGAGAATTTTTAAATCCTGGCACCATTTGTCAATATGCTCTAGTTTTTCTATTTCTTGCTGATGCAAGGAGAGTTCCTCCAGGGAAAAAATTATACAGTTATTGTGTTCAGCATTTCGTCTAATAAGATCTTCAGTAACTGAAAGAAAAGTTGTTACATATTAATTCCTCTCCCCGTTGTTCAACATCAGGTTATCACCTTATAAATGTGATGGAGTTTTTTGTTTGTTTTTTGGATGTCAAATGTCAATTCTCCATACCCAAGTGATTTTCAACATGAAATAGAGCAGAAAAATACTTCCTGGAGTTTTTGCAACACTATAATGTGAGTCCGAAGGAAGAACACATGACGCTGTCTTGCCTTACTGGCTTTGGAATGTGTAGGGTCTATGTACGTCTTGCTATATGGATGGTGGCAGTTGACAGTTAATGGCTATGAGAATGTCAATATGGAATCCTACGGTGGTACCATGTCAAAATGGATGAGATCTACTAACTGATCTGAGACAGGCAACTTGCTACTGAGAGGCACAGTGGGGCTGGTAGAGGGCAGAAATAAAAAAATATATATCTCTCACCATTCATTTAGGAAATGTCATGCATTCATACATTCATTTAACTCAATTTGTTAATTTAACTAAAGCTTAAGAGAAGGTAAAGGAACACCCCAGATCTTTCACTGCAATCATTTTTAAACTTCAGAATGTTATGGGTGTGCTCATGTGTTAGTTACATAGTTTGCTTCTGTATATTTTAACTCAAGGATAAAAGTCTGCCCTTCACCCAAGAAGTGTGCATTATACCTCTTAGGTATGCAGTTACCCATCCCTTCCTTCTGATAAAGCAGTTATTACTTGTTTTGTTTCTACAAATAACAAAAGCTACTTACAGGAGGAGGGAAATGGGAGCTCCCACCCCTCTGGGAAGACCAGTGTGTAGCACTGGGGTCACCTGACCCAGAAGGTCAGTTTTGGCAGTCCCAGGTTACAAATGAGATAGGTTCTGTAGGTTCTTAAGTTAAATTTGTATGTAAACTGGAACAGGTGCATTTACCAATTACCTGTAATAGCCTCAGTTTCTAAGTATGAGTTGCACATTAAGTCAGATGTTTGTAACTTGGTAACTGTAATATTTGATGACAATGACAACAGCACCAGGGGAGACTGGACACAGTGCTATGGTCCATGGTTGGAGCCAAGAACAAAATCATGAATCATCTTTTTAAGATGCACTGAAACCCGAGAGGTAATGATAAAGGAGAAACCATGCATTTTCCAGTACTATTGGCTTGGCTCCTGCAGCACAGTGGTTACGGCGCCAGCCACATACACCAAGGGTGCCGGGTTAGAACCTGGCCCGGGCCAGTTAAACAACAATGATAACTGCAACTAAAAATGGCCAGGTGTTGTGGCAGGTTCCTGTTGTTCCAGCTACTTGGGAGGCTGAGTCAAGAGAATCACTTTAGCCCAGGAGTTTGAGGTTGCTGTGAGCTGTGATACCATAGCACTCTACTGAGGGCAACATAGTGAGACTCTGTCTAAAAAAAAAAAATAGTATTAACATACAGCAGAAGCTCTGTAAGGTAACTGTCCAAGGGACTGTAACAAATTGGTCAACATCCAGAGGTGGTCAACATAAGGAACTAGGCCTACCGTATTGATAGGTACATGTGGTGCATGTCCAATCTGAAAGAGATGGTCAATGTAGGAAGGTGGCCAATCATGGAGGTTCTACTGTAGTTAGACCCTCACATTTTATGTAGCATGTGGAGATAATGCATGTACACCCTAGGAGATAATAAAGACTTACTTATCATTACTTACCAAGTGCCAGGTACTGTCTTAAATGCTTTGCAAGTATTAATATATGAATACGTAGAGTTATTATTTACATTTTCCATATGAGGAATTGAAGCACAAAGAGTTTAAATAACTTTCCTTTGGTAGTAAGTGCTAGAGCCAGGGCTTACTTGCTACCAGGTCTTGGTAGTAAGTGTTAGAGCTAGGTTTTAAATCCACAGTCCAGTGCCAGATCACATGCCCATAACCACTATGTAATACTGCCTCAAATGAGCAAATAAGATTGGGGACTCCAGGCTCCCTGAATGTGCTGACACAAAGTTCTTTATAGCACCTTTGGCTGCCCCCCCTCTATACCACAGCCTTCACAATGGAGTTTGCCTGTTTTCTGTAATGTAAAAACATGTATACTTCTTCTAGGAGATAGGGTTATTGCAATGACAGTTCTCTACAAGAAAGACAAGGGGAATGCAGAAGTTGAGAGATTAAAATACCATACATAGGAGCTGTCCCTGCTGCTCTAAGCCTTAGTTCAGCTTATAGGCAGAGATGGCCACAAACCAGGGTCCTGGAGAGGCTCAGGCCAAAGGGCCCAGGAAGGAGGCTGAAAGCGCAGCCCTACCAGCCCTGGTTCACGGCTTCCTACTGTCAGCTGCACTCTGCTGTGCTCAAATTCCACTACTAGGTTGTGAACTGGTTTAAACGGACTAGAAAGGGAAAAGGAAAACACAGACACACACACAACTTCCCGAAACGAAAACCTGTCAGAGAATAGCAGTAAAATTACTCTCTAACCTCCCCACCAAAACTGGTTCTAATAAGGAATAAATGGGTACAGCCAATCTGAGGAAAGAGCAAAGCTGCTCTGTAAAGTAAAATGTACTGCCTACGTCTATACTTTATCTATAAGAATTCTCTTAGCAAAGATACAACATGGGTTAATGGGTTGAGATGCCACAACCTGTGTTCTCTGGGCTAACAATAAAATGTGAGAATTAATTTGACATTATTTATGAGACCCTCAATGATTAATGGTGAAATATATGACTTAAACCATATAAATCCATGGAGCAAGGGGGTCAATGATTGGAGGTCTTGCTGCTATCAGACCTGGAATACACGGGGCCAGACAGATGTGCCATCAAGGGCCCATGCCTCCCCCTCCAGAGCACAGCCCAGGTAGGAATAATGAGATCCTCTGTCCAAGAGGCTCCAAGCCTACCTCCAAGCCTTGCATTGGCTGCTTCTTTAGGTTCATTCCTAGAGACAGACCAGCTATGCATCCCAACAACCAGGGGTGTCCAGGGATCAACTGCTTTCCAGGATGTGGATAGCTTGGATGTGTCCACACCCATCCATAGGCATAAGGGACCAGGTTAGAGCCAGGGACAGCAAGAAAAGAGAGGAGGAGGCCAGGGGGCCAACTGTCCCCAACCTACCCCTCTGTCTTAGAACCACAAGAGGTCTGAGAAACTTGGTATTAGATGCTGCAGCCTTCTGAGTTGTCATGAAGGTATACTTGTCAAAGAAAGATGAGTTTTATTTAGCAGTTTGATTTTAACTTGATACAGGAGCATTTACATACAGTCCTGCCTCATGAGGAACACTGTTGACGGCTACTTTGGTACCCGTACTGAAGACATAACCTAAGGTGAACCCCATAAGAGCAGTTATCTGGGGTTAAGTTGAATGCGTGCAGAGGAATTCTGATAGCATCTCGAGCATCACCTGATCTCTGGCCTCCTATGGCCAGGTGAGCATCTGCTCAGCTCACATGTGGCTTCCTGGCTCTTGGGGCTGCTCAAGATATCCCAGGCTCCTCCAGAAAGGAGGCTGAAAGTGAAGGCTTTTCACTTTTGAAGGCTTTTCCAATTTGTCTAACACTAAAGATTTACAGAGTTGACAAAGTTCCTACTTCAACCCTTTACCAAATATCCTCCACGTATTCTCTTGTGGCACCTCTCAAAATTTAACAAACTCTTTACTTCGTGCTATTATGTGTGCAAATGTGACCATTTGCATGTAATTGTCAAATCTTCTCTTTAAGATGTGTGTAGATATTAGGGAGGAATCCTGTATCTCTATACATCCTAACCATGAGAAGTAAGATGATAGAAATCACTATTAGCTTAAAGGTGTTGAGGTGAGGGAACCTCCCTTAGCATGAGGTGATTCACTTACATACATGCACATGCACAAAGGAAGGGCGTGCACAACAGTTCATTCAGCCCAACAGAGAAGTCTGCCCAGCAGCAACAATTATGCACACACAATTAGGATAGATTAAAAGAAAACAACAACTTGTGGAGGAAGGCAGAACTGTGAAGGTCTGGAATTTCCCAGCGGACCTTTTCTAAACTCTTCTGTAATAAGGACACTGCTGTGTGCTTGTTAAGCACTCAAGCAATTGTTGTTACACAATATTGCTTCACCCATCATGACAAAGATCAAGGCAAGCAGAGCCCCAATAAGAAATATGGAAGAATATGTTCATGATATAGTGAAGATAACAGTGTTTCATGATTTTTAATAAGAAAGCATTTGATGTTTTACATACTATCTAATCTGGCCAAACATACTTTAATTCCAAGGAGCACTGTACATCTTTAGAAATTCCTACTCTAAATAACATAGCACCAAACCTCCATGAGATCATTCTAGGGATTTAAAAATGTTTTGGAAGCATTAATGTCATCATAAGACTATTTCAAGAGACACCGTATTACAGTATCTATTATAGAAGAACATGCCAAGACACTATACAAAACATATTGCTTTCACTTAGTTTAGAAAATTTCAAATAGCAAAATCTAGGACAGATGGATTCTGAGGAGTGTCTCACCCATACCAGTGCTAGCTGATATCTGCACGGCTGGAAGAATGAGAACTTGATGAAGAATACTGACAGCTTTCGCCACAGACGCACACTCATCTCACTGATAGAAGCTGCTGGGGAATCCAAAGGCTTAATCAAAACTGAGCAGCCAGCCCGGGCTTCTTTTCAATTCCTTATGTGACTGGGTTTTCTATTATTGAAGGAATATCAATAAAATGATTTTGTGGGGACAAAGGGAAGGAGGAGGTTTCTGGGATGTTGGAGGTTGCCCTGCTGTGCTCATTTTTACATTGAGCAAAGTTCTAGAACTCCCTAAGCCAACAATGTAGTGTTCATTCCTTCAGGTTTCATATCATGTTTTGTAAACGGCCCTCTCTTTCCTCCTGAATCACAAAAAACATCAACCAATATGTGATTATTGCAGATTTTGTAGAACTTTCAAACATCTTGAAAGCCCTAGCAAATACATTTATTAAATAGAGATTTAATATTACAAATGGGTTAGAAATAAGTGGTTACTTCTTATAGCATCTAAACTTTTTTCTTTTACCATTTGTAATGGAAACCTTAAAAAACAGGATTACACATTTGTCCTTCCTTTTCCTACAGACCTAGGGTGATCACAGTGAGCATCAGCAGCCATACTGCACCCTAAGCCAGTGACACCATTAGGGGCTACTGATGTGGAGTGAATGAAGTGTCATGGGGCAATAACAAAGCACACAGACAGCAAAATGAGTAGAGGAGGGCGTGATCAGTGCTATAGAGTGAGAAAGGGAGGTCAGAGAAGCTTCACAGAGGAGAAACTTGAACAGAATCTTGAAATGAGAGTTGGCGTTTGCCAGATGAACAAACAAGGAAAGGGTATCCCAGGCTGTCATGGATAATAGGCTGCACCACCCAGATCCTCCTCCAACACTGAAGGATTCATTCTTCCAGCTTCTTGGAGCTCTGCAATATGTCTATCCCCCAGCTACCCACCGGCTTAGAGAAGCACCTCAGATGAAAGAGGCACCTCGACCAAGGTCATATCCTTTCCCAGGGAAGGCCACATCCAACGACCAGTTGATGTCAGAACTTAAAATGTCCAGTTCTTCACCCCGACTTCAGCAAGTCAGAAAGTTCATTGTAAGTTTAGAGCTCCTAAAGTTGGTTAGTTAAGGCCGGTGTTAAGATGCATCACAGCCCAATTTCCCTCTCTGTCCAATCTGGCTTTCTTCCCTACCTACCTGAACAACATTCATAATAAACTTCCTGCACACTTATCCTCATCTTAAAGTCTGCTTCTTAGGGAACCCAACCTGGAAGAGTTAATACTAGAAGTGGCCCACATAAGCAGATTCTAGCCAAGATGGAAGTTTGGAGTTGGATCACCTGTTGCCACAGCAGCAATGAGGACACCACTGCTGGTTGCAGGTGGAACCCAGTGCCTGGCCCAAGGTAGCTATGAATTGCAAAACTTTCACTGGTGTTGAGCAGAGACAGAATACTAGTGGTAGGGAATGCACTAGTAAGTATGACATATCAGGCATTAGAGAACTATGGAAGAAAAGTATAACTTAGGGCAGGTGTCCTCAAACTACGGCCCATAGGCCACATGCAGCCTGCCGAGGACATTTATCCGGCCCGCTGGGTGTTTTTGCCTCCACTGCCTGTCCTGCTTAGCAGCCAACTCACCCCGGGCCCACAGTCTGGCCCTCCAACGGTCTGAGGGACAGTGAACTGGCCCCCTGTTTAAAAAGTGTGAGGACCCCTGACTTAAGGGATAGTTGTATTGGATGGCTGCTGCTAAACACAGTTGATAAGAAAGGCTGAGAGAGATCAATCACATATTAAAAGCTAAATGTGATAACCACAAAACCCTACTGATAGTATAGATAGAGGTTTTCATTTCCTGAACCCAGAGGGCAGAAAAAGCTGAGGACCAGGCCTTCTAAGAGTAACAGCAATGTCAAGGTTCTAGACGTGATCGAGTCATGAGACAGTATTTACACTACAGCCCACAATAACTAAAAATAAAGACAGACATATGGAAAGTATGCTTTTTAAAAAACATCAGACAACAGGAAATCCAAGGGCAAATTAGAAAGTATTTTGAACTAAACGAAAAATGATAAAAACAGCAAATCAAAATTTGCAATTTTCAGCGAAAACTTTACTTAGAGGGAAATTCATAGCACTAAATACCCATAATAGGAGAAAAAAAAAAGGTTTCAGATATCAGCTTTCACTTTAAGAAACTGGAAAAAAGGTGGCACCTGTGGCTCAAGGAATAGGGCGCCGGCCCCAAATACTGGAAGTGGCAGGTCAAACCCAGCCCCCGCCAAAAACTGCAAAAAAAAAAAGAAAGAAAGAAACTGGAAAATAGTAAAATACAAAATAATCAGAAGAAAGTATACAATAAAGATTATAATTGAAACTGATGAAATGAAAAGTGTAAAAGCAATAGAGAAAAAAATCAGTAAAAAATTAAATCTAGCTCTTTAAGAATAAAATGAGTAAACTTCAGGCCTCAGACCCTCTCTGTAAGATCTGGCACATCAGAGATAAGGAGGCCTCCTTGTCAGTTATCCTGCTGAAACAACTTCGTTTCAGGCCCCTGTCTTCCACTTCAACTCCAATACCGCCAAGCCATGCTTCTGAGCAAACCTCCTGGCTCTTCTGACAAATGTCTAAATTCTTAGTACAAAACCTGTAGCGTACAATCTGATCCCTGCCTACTTGCCCCTCAGAGGTCTTCTCTCTTCACCCTCCATCCCTTCTTTCTGTCCTTTACCCTAATTCCAGTTAGTGACAATTTGCCATCAAGGGGGCTGGATGGTTCTCACCTCTTGGCTTTCACAGGCCCTCCTGTTTTCTTGCCAGACAACACTGCTTGTTCTGAGAAGCCTCCATCTTTCCTGGAGTTAAGTCCCCTGCCTGCACTCTCAGGGCCCAGGCACCCCTGTCACGTGCTGTAACCACCATAGTAAGTGTTTGCCTTCCCTCTCACTAGGAGGGCTGGCCCAGCTTAGTCTTGTTCTCTGTGTGCTTAAAGCCTGACTCAGGGTAGGCACTCCAATACAAGTCCGATAAGTTAAGGAGTTAGCAAATGAAAGAGCAGGTTTCTGAGAAAGCAGGCTAAGGATAATCTATAAGGAAAAATTTAAAAGGCTAAGGAGCAAAACAAAGAAACAAACTAGGATGAGACCAGGGGATGGGGGGGCAGCCCTGACAGGAAATACAGGTAACTGGTGTAGGAAGGAGTTTTAACATTTACAAATCACTGTCTCTCCCTTCTCCTCCTCTGTGAGCTGTCAGATCTTCCAGAGCAGAAACCCGATCATCTGACACAGTCTCTTGCATGAAAAATATTAATTATGACACATTTACAACGTTTAGTGATAAATTGGGTGGAAGTGTACAAAACTGCCACTTGGGAAAGTCCATAACGTCGCTGTCATCAGAGCAGTTCAATCCAATATCAATAACCGTTCACGGCATTACCTAGCTGTCTAGCAGTATATTTTAAAACATTTTTACAACACTTATTGTGTCTGTAAAACAATGTTATTATTGTCTTCATCTTCAAGATTAAGAAGCTGGAGTCGGAAGAGGTGAAGTCACTCGCCCAAGGACAGGGGGCGTGTAGGTGGAGGAGGGAGGATTTAAACCCTGACCCCGGATTCTGCCCCCTGGACCACAGACTGCTACACGCCTCCTGCAGGGGCCGAGGGCAGCGACTCCAGTATACAGTCAGCCTGCGACCACGCGACAGGGGGGCCCAGCCCCCCTCGCCCTCATCAAGTCCGAGGCCTTTTTCTCCCCCTTAACCACACCTCCAGCTCATGCTACACAGGAGGAACCCGAGCCTCGAGAAGACCAGGCCGCCCAGCCACTCTGCAGAGGTCCCGCAGAGGGTCTGCACAGGGCGAAGGCCCAGGCGGGGTCTGGGTCGCCCGGGGCGCGCTGGGAGGGTCCCAGGACCAGGGGCGCCCGCAAGGGGGACGATCAGGGGCGGAAAGTGGGGAAGGACGCTTACTCCGGCCCATGGCGCCTCTCACGTTTGCTGACCCTCCAGGCCCAACTGGGACCTGGACAGCGGAGGACTCCCTTCTCCTTTCTCAGTCGCGCCTCGGCGCGTCCCGTCGGAATTCAGGCGCCATGGCAACGGGGACTCTACGGCGGCCGCACGGGGTCAGGCGGCGACGCGTTTCCCGAGCCCCAGAGGCGCGACCGGGCGAGACCGCGGTGGAGGGGGCTCGGGAGGGGGGACCGGTGGCTTGTCCCAGCCCAAATCTAGCCTTGGTCAACGTCCTCACCCTCAACCTCCTGCAGACTGCTTCTCTCTCCCCAAATCCACAGTCCAGACTGAACAAAATCCGGAACGCTCTTATTTGCTGATGAGATCAGCCTCATCGCCGTGACTTTCATAAGGTGACCAGATGTCCTGCTTTTGGCGGGACAGTCCCGATTTCCAACAATTTGTCCCGTGGCATTTTTTTAAAAGTCCCGATTTTTGGAAAGAATGTATGACAAGCTAGGGAAGGGCAGGAAAATGGGAAGGGAATATATGGTTTTCAGCTGCTGAAAAGGTTAATGTAACTCCATTTGGGAATGAAAGGGCTAATGTAAACTCTGTACTCCCCTCCTGGGCAAGGTCGCCCAGGTGGACCGCCGCCCTGCTCCTTTGAGCCACAGGGGCTGCCCTATACATAATTTTTTTTTAATGTATTATATTTGTAAATTGTACTTATGTTGAAATTAAAAAGATATATATTACAATACTATTTTTGCGTTCTATGAACATTTTTGTTGCTCCATATAGACCAAATTTTTAATTAAGAACCCCCCCCCCATGGTGTCCCGCTTTACCAATGTTAAAATCTGGTCACCTTAGACTTTCACGATGTCCTATACTTCTTTGTTCCTTTTTTTACTAAGGCTCCCAAAGGTAGGAGACCGAGATTTGACCCCCACTCTATTTACCAGGATTGTCACCTTAAGCTTCCTTTGCCTCCGTATCCACATCTGTAGGATGAGTAATAATGAGTAATAATCTCAGGATTCCTGTGAATCTTTAAGTGGATGACATGAGTGCATGAAAGACTTTGAAAATCGCAGGCTCAGTATAAAGGGTAGTCCTCATTGCTGTATTCTGTCTCTTTAAAGTCACCTCCCAACACCAGTTAACTTCCAGCTAACAAATTTTGTAAAATCACCACTCATCAATTTCTCTCCCTCTATCAGTTTTCCTTCCCAGAACTCTCCTGATTGATTATAAAGTATGGGAAGTGTATCTCCTACAGCCCCCTACTCCCTGTGAAGGTGTCCAACACACCTGCCTCTGTTCTGCAAACCAGGGAGGAAGTCTGCAAGCTCAGATGTTGGCTTTTCAATGCATTACACCTCCCAAGAATTTTTAATGTGTTATTATAATAAAAGTAATTGTTACTCTCTACCCATTCATTTAAAAAAGTAATAGGTAAAAGATAAGACCTCCGCTTAGCACTGTCATAACAAGCAGTATGGAGAGGATGCTTCTTATCGCGATATGTGTATTACCTCTGCATTTTAACAGAAGACTCAGAGCAATATGAGTCCAAAGAAATTAATTCTTTCATCAGTTAACTGTTGAAATTAATTCTTTCATCAGTTAACATTTACTGTTGGCACTTATTAGGGTTTAGCAGGTGGAGACAGGCTCATGAACTTAAGAGAGGCAGGAGAGTCAAATACAGTGAAGTGAAGGAGGGTCTGGGGACACTGATCAGTTTGTCAGTGGAGAGAACTGTACAGGAAGAAGAGTTTTAGCCAGTAAGCCTGAGAGATTAGATCCAGGTAATGGAGGCCCTAAATGCCAGGCCAAAGGAACCAAACTGAAATGGTGGGATACCAGGCGTTGTGTCCCTGTGGGGGTAGAAATATTTGGAATTGCAAAAACTTAAGAGACATCTACTATTTTATTTTATTGAAAGCAGGACAGTGTAGGTGACAAGCAGGAGCTATGGCATTGGAATTGTGGTTCAAATCCACATCTTTACTACTGCGTGTCACTGGACAGATTACTCCACCTTTCAGAGCTGGAACTTCTCCATTTCTACATGAAGAGGCCAATACGGAAACAAATATCTCCTGCTGTGTCACCAAAAGGTCTGAATGTGAGCATCCGATTATTCGATTATTCACGTGGGAGATGAAATGCCATGAACAACAGCCCATGAGTTTAGCAAATACGCCTATGCTTTAGCTTTTGCATTTTGACAAAAGGGGTTCATCAAAACTATAATAAAAAAGGACACAGCTTTTGGCAAGAAGCAGATACCAGGAGTATTCCAGGTAGAAAGGTTACTTTCTAAGTTGACAGAGGCATGCAGTGAGGCCCAGTATAAAGGATCTCAGCTACTGGGTCACAGACCCAGGGATCTAAAAAGTTCCCCGGGGGAGGGAGGGGGGAGTGGGTGGAGGGAGAGGAATTCGAGGGTTCACTTCTGTGGTTCATCTTACAAGGGTACAAGTGAATCTTTCTATGAGTAGAATATGAACGTTTTAACACAATAACTAAGAAAGTTACATGAAGGCTAGGTTAACCAGTTTGATAGAAGTGTCTC